TAACCCACCCTGTGGGGATTAGCCTAACCCACCCTGTGGGGATTAGCAGGGATTTGCATAGCATTGGTTCAGAGCTTAATCCTGTTAAGGTCAAAACCAACAGCTTTGGGGAGGAGCTGTTCAGATTTCCCGCAATGGACAAATGAGCAGGAAGTGTGGAGAGCCATAATTACCTTGTTTGGGTAAAGAGCCCTGTGCCTCTGGGTGGTGGCGCCAAGAGCCTTTAATTCAGAAGCAGAGGCAAGAAGATCTCTGTGAGTTCAAGACCAGCCTAGTCTACAGAGTGGATTCCTGAACAGCTGAGCTAAACAGAAAAACCCTGACTAGAAAAATAGAACAGTATGACCTCAAACTCACAGAGACCCCAAACTCCTGAGTGAGACCATGGAGTAGACTACATCTTTCCCCTTGTTTCTGTCAGGTGTTTACTCTAGGATCACAGGAGTAATGTATGAAGGATGAAGTCGCTGACAGAGTCCTTGTCCTCCTGGGCGCTGCAGCTTCACAGGTATCTCAGTCTCACACCAAAGGCTGCAGGAGCCGAATGTCTGCCAGGCCTCTGTGAGCAGAGCAGTCCTGGTGGAAGCGGCCTCGGCACACACTTTCTTATTTTCCCTTCTCCTTCTCTTCTTTTTTTGAAGCAGCACCTCAGTGTGATTCTCTGGCAAGACTGGAATTAATTCACTCTTAGATCAGGCTGGACTCAAACTCACAGATCAGCCTACATCCTGGGCACAGGGATTAAAGGCGTGCAACATCACACCTGCCTCTCATAGGGGCTATGTGATTTCTCTCTCTCCTCAAGATCCAGATTGGAGGGTAGAGTTTTTTTTCTGTTGTTTATTTGTTTTGTTTTTTTAAACAATACCTCACTTAGCTGAGGCTAGTCTTGATACTGCTGAGGATGACCTGAAGCTCCTGATTCTCCTGCTTCCACTTCTTAAGCTGGAATTAGAGGCCCAGCACATACTGGCTGCAGTATGGCTTTGTTATCAGTAGTTGGGGTCTAGGTTTGGTATTTCTGGATCCTGGCCCCTAAATTCAACAGTAAATTTAAAAGCCTGAACAGGTTGCAGAGTAGCCAGAAAACTTTATTCAAAGCAAAATCTTGCAGATCAGAGATAAGTTGATAAAGCAGACAGGGGAACACATGAGGCAAGGTGCTCACAGGCTCCAGTAAGCGTCTGCAGCTTCCTTCTGTGTGGTTCAAGAGAAGGAGTCAGCCAGGGGAGGTGGTGTCATATGCTTTAATCCCAGCACTCAGAAGGCAGAGGCAGGCAGATCTCTGTGAGTTTGAAGCCACCCTGGGTGACAGAGTGAGTTCCAGAACAACCAGGGATACACAGAGAAACCCTGTCTCAAAAAAACCAAGAGAGAAAGAGAAAGAGGCTTGGGGATGGGGTGGGGGTAACGTGTATGTGTAAGTGTCCGAGAAAATGCTGATGGAAGACCCCAGACTCAAATAGTTTGCAAGAGCATTATATGCCGGGACTTCTCAGGGTGACGACCCCGAAAGGAGCTTGCAGGCTTCTTTTAAGCACAGCTAGGGGAATTTCAGGAGTGGTTAGGTCATCTTAAGCATAATTGGTTAAGCAAGCAGCAGTCACATTAGTATACTTTTAATTGGTTGCGGCTTTATCTTTGGACATACTTGGGTAAGTGTCAAGGGGACGCAGGAACTGTTCCTGAGACATTGTGGAGCTAACTCAGGCCTTGTTTGTGCTCCTTTGTCCCTGAATGCAAGGGTGTTGTTGATAAAGGGAGCTTTGCTGGGAGAGACATCTGTTTGCCCTTCTCAGAGTGCTGAAACCTAAATTCAGTTGTAAAAGTGGGAAGTTTTTACCCTTCAGTTTGGTTCTCTTTTCACTGACAGGCTCGGATTGCGTAAGCCCTTGCTCACTGCACAGGACCCTTCCCATGCTCCCTCTGACTTTTAATCACAGACACGTCTACTACACATGGGCATAATATGATCCTCACTTTGGGTGCACACTGTGCTTTATTGCTTATGCACCCCAAACTAGTGTAGGTCAGCCCAGTTCATGGCTGCCTTCTGGGGCCAGCACAGCAGGTGGAGACTTGCTGCAGATGCAGCGACTATGTTCAGGCTCTGGGGTGATTCTCACTGCAGCTTTCTCACGGATGGCAGTCTTCTGCAGACCCCATGAGTTGTCGGTAAGAATAGCAGGGACTGGGATTGGCTTGAGGGAGCCCAGTGGGGACACTCAACTGCCTGTCTTAGGGTGTCTATTGCTGTGAAGAGACACCACAACCAATAGCAACTCTCATCAATGAAAACATTTCATTGGTGTGGCTCACTTGCAGGCTTAGTCCATTATCATCATGGTAGGACATGATGGCCTGCAGGCAGACATGGTGCTGGAGAAGTAGCTTAGAGTCCTACATCTTGGAGGCCACAGGAAGTGATCTGTGTGACACTGGGAGGTATCCTGAGCATAGGAAACCTCAAAGCCCACCCCTACAGGGACATGCTTCCTCCAACAAGGCCATACCTACTCCAATAAAGTCACACCTCCTAATAGTGCCACTCCCTATGAGCTTATGGGGTCCAATTATATCCAAACTACCACACTGCTATCCCACTCCTTGGACATTAATTTATTTCTTTTAGTTATAATTTGACCAGCTTGCAGCAGTTATTAGCAACAGAAAAAGAAAGTCACTTTCCAGACTTCTTTTTGAAGTAATTTTCTTTTCTTTTCTTTTTTTTTTAAAGATTTATTTATTATGTATACAACATTTCTTCCATGTATGCCTGCATGCCAGAAGAGGGCGCCAGATCTCATTATAGATGGCTGTGAGTCACCATGTGGTTGCTGGGAATTGAACTCAGGACCTCTGGAAGAACAGTCAGTGCTCTTAACCTCTGAGCCATCTCTCCAGCCCGAAGTCATTTTATTTTCAATTATGTACATATGTGTATCCAGGGGAGGGCACTGGATCCCTTGGAGGTGGAGTGACAGGTGGGTGGGGACCTCCTGATGTGCATGCTGGGAGCCAGACCTGAGCCCTCTGCAAGAGCAGCAATCACTCCTAACCACTGAACTATCTGTCTGGCCCACCATCCTGGCTCTTACCAGCACAGACACGTATGTGTTTACATGTTGTATAAATGTGTGTCTCATGTGTGTTTTCCTATCTTCCTTCTTCCTCATTGCCTGTATTCACTCCTGATAGGTGAAATTTCAGCTTGTTTATTCTCTTTCCTATGTATTAGCCCATGCTGCGACCAGACTGTAACTTATCAGTCCTACTGTGGATAGACATAACTTCCGGTTCAGAGCTATTGTGAACAGTGTTTTTTCAGATAGTATGGCATGTGTCTTTATTACTGGAAGTAGTGTTGTCTATATGCTCGGCTTGAGTAGCTACTAAGAAGCACATGTATAAACTGCTATACCAAATGACACCCAACCAGCAGTGTATGAAGATATCACTTGCCCAACTCCTTGTCTATTTTGTGCATTTTATGTTCTCTGCATTTTAGGCATTTTGGTGGCTGTGTAGGCATTGTGTCATAAATATGTAGTTCTCAATCACAAATGAAACTGAGTGCGTTTTAGTAACGATGCTTGGTGAGACTGGAGAACTGTCACATCCACTAAGAGCAGATCTTCTCTTCCAGAGGATGGACATTGGATTCCCTGTACCCAAATAGCAGCTCAAAACCATTTCTCCAATTCCAGGGGATCCCACATTTCTTCTGGCCTCTGCTGGTACTGAATATATATGGTGCAGAGACTTACACGCAGACAAAGACGCTGCACATGTAGAATAATAAAATAAAAAAATTTAAAAGTGTTAAAAATTTTATTGATCAAGTCCTCTTTTTATCTCCTTGACTATTTTAAATTTTCAGGTCTTTACTGTGTAGAGAGGACAATAGTGAATGAGCCAGGCTTGAAGTTTTAGACACAAATCAGCAGTAATAAAAGGCTTTTGTTTGTTTGCTTGGCTTGCACGTGACTACACACAAAGGCCAGTGCTTCATTCTAAGAGCTTTGGCTCGTGGTCCAGAGTGGCAGCCATCTTGACAATAGCCAAGCTACAGTTTCTATCTGGCTACAAATAGAAATAGTGCTTTTTTTTGGGGGGGGAGGGGCTGGCTTTTTGTTGTTGTTGGGTTTTTGTTTGTTTGTTTGATTTTTTCAAGAGAGAGTTTCTCTATGTAACAGTCCTGGTTGTCCTGCAACTCGCTTTGTAGACTAGACTGGCCTCGAACTCACAGAGATATGCCAGCCTCTGCCTCCTAAATGCTGGAATTAAAAGTATGTACCACCAGAGCCTGGCTAGAAATAATGTTTTTGACTCTTCTTAGATTCTAAAGGGACTTCATAATACATATTGTGGAAAAGCTTGTCATGTATTAAAAAGTACTTGAATTGTGTTTACCTATTGTTTCTCTTTGGGAGCTTTTAAATGTTTGTTTTGGATGTTGAGAAATCTTTTAGTGGATCTAACCTAGAAAGTAAATGCTATAAGTGTTTATTAGTCTCTTGTAAGTAAAACTTGATAAAACGTATTTTTCAAGATTTATTTATGCATGTATCTTATGTATTCAGGCATTTTGTCTGTATATATGTGTACCCACCAGAAGAGGGCAACAGACTGTGCATTGCCATGTGGTTACTGGGAACTGAGCTCAATACCTCTGGAAGATCAGTCAGGAAGAACAGTCTTAACCATTCAGCCATCTCTTCAGCCCTGATAATTTTTCCTTAATTTGGGAACTTAAAAATATGTTAATCCTTTATGGTCTAGGGTCATTTCAGAAGAGGGGGGCAGAAGGATTGTGGGAGCCAGAGAAAGAAGAATTTTGCTGGGAGATCAATCTTCTACAAATAGAAGAGAAGATGCACCCAAGAGTCTCACCAATATGACACCCTAAGTACGACCTTAACAGGGTGACACCAGTAACCATGCTAAATGGACAGGAAAGCTGGTGAGGCCTTAGCGCTA